GAGTTGTATAAAGCACTCAGTTTCTCTAAAAGTTCTGAGGGAAAAGGGGACTAACCACTAGACTTTAAAGATGCTGTGGTACTAAGGCCACAAGACATTGTTTTTATGTTTCTGGATTTAGAAAGGACAAGGTCAATCACCAGTATGCAAGAGAAACCCCCTGAAGATTTCAAGGTTTCCTTTGACGAGGCAACACACCTTCACTTTTCTTCATGAGAACATTAGGAGACAATGCAACTGGTCAATGGAAGAAGCACGAGTCCATTTGGATGGTGAGCCGTCTTTGGTTTAGAGAGCACACATGGTCCGTACATTTCCCCTGCTTCTCTAAGCCCTCCACTTCCTTCATGACAAAACCAAGCAGTGACTATGGGTAACTCAGGTTGAGCTACCTTCTCTGCAGATCTTTCTCCTGTGCTCTGTTTAGACTTGCAGCCTTTTAAGAAATGCAATTACTTGCCTTATCATATCATCAACAGATATTGATCAGGTGGCCACAGAGTGAAGGACTCTGTAGTTAAGTGCAAACATCAATAGTGACAAGGATGAGAAAGTCTTTGATCACTGAGATTCCTGAAAAAAAGCCACGGATGAAGCGCTGGAGCAGGCATAGCTCAGAGGGAGGAAAGCAGAGACGTGAACGACACCAGCAGGCTCTTTGCAGAACAAGCTGGTTGTGCAGTTAAGCGGATAGAGAGTGCAAGGTCCACATCTAGGACCAGGAATCACTTGTTTAGTTTTGGGGTGACACTTCAGTGCTGTCCGAAGACTCAACATGAAAAAGTGTGGCTACTGATCTAAGGATCTTTATAAATGATTGTTCCTATTACAGAGGGCCTGGAGTTGTGCGATGGGGAGCAAAGGGGGAAAAGGGAAGAGGTAAGTGATGAGAAACTTATACCTACTTCTCAGAATTAGTTTAGTTTTTAGGTAATCCAAACCTCTGCTATCATGAGTGTTTAACTCCTTCACACACCCACACAAACACACGAAAGAACCAGGTTGGCTCTAAACCCAGGAGAGGAGCATTTATTGAAAAGAATGTCAAAGAATGTCCCTATTCATATCCTGCCACTCTCTGCTCCCACTCCTTGCAGGTGGTATCCATACCACCTTGGTCTGCCATCACCAGATGTGTTCTCTGTCCTGGCCCTGCAATGGCATGGATGAGGGACTTCTGGGACACAGAGCAATGCCCAAGGCACCCCGTGTTCCTCCCCTTAGGAAGCTGGTTTCTTTGTGTCTCTTTTTCACTCTAAGGAAGAGATGGCCTCTCAGATCACTTACAAAGAGCAAGATCTTATGCTACAATGTTAGGAAGCAGAGTGGCCATTGGATACGGTTTGGCCCACACAGTTTTCTAAGAAACCCTAGCCCCTGGGGCCTGGGATGAGCCAGGAAGCTGAAGGTGGAAGATACTAAACGTAGATAGCATTCTGGAGTTATTTCCTTGCCATTATTTGCCTGGGAGACTTTTCTGGCAAGGAAGCCTGGGAGAAAAAGGCAATAACTATAGATGGTCTGTGATAAAATTAGACATGAAAGTGAAAATCGGGCTAGCTCTTTTAAGGAGGAAGTTAATTTGCCTTTAGAGTAAACTGGGTATTGTTTTTTGAAGTGCAACTATAGATGTTGTCATGAATAAGAAAACACCATCATTAATGATGGTAATCACATTAGTGACTCTGTAGGTCTGGAGCCACCAAGGTGTTTTCTGAAAAACGAGAGAAGCATGTGTGTAGGTGTGCACACACAGAGGCAGACAGGCAGAAAGAGAAAGCTGGACACAGAGTCAAAAAAGGGGAAGGAAACTAAGTCAGAGCACATGACACATGCTCCCGGACATTGCCTCTGGGACCCTGGGACCAAAGGACTGAGTCCTCGTTCCACAGAGGGTGTGATTCTACATCCCAGATTTTCTGAAAGAGTTGATTTCATGGGTCTTCTTAGTGGGCAGTCAAGGCGAGGCACTCAATGGATAATTAAATGCCATTTATTCTGCATGCTCTTTGAGAAGTTCCACCTAAACAAAACTCATAAATGAGAAAGAATCCTATGCTAGGACCCCTGTCAGCATTTTCAGTCCTGAAAGCATGGTGGCCGCAGGGAGGTCAGGGCACTAACACAGATAGCCACTGGCACCATGGTGTTCCATACGACCAAACCCAGAGCCAAGAACGTCCAGAGACATTTCTACCAGAATGAGGGAAATGCTGAAAACAAGACAAAATAACCAACAAACCTCTTTGGATGGAGACTTGCCTCTGTGGGTATGATGCTCACTATGTGATGTCAGAATAGGCATGTGCCTTTGCCATTGGTAACTTCCTACCTTCTCAAACTCTCCCCTCACCCTGCCTAGATGGTGCAGTTGACATTTCAGGGGTGACAAGCTCTGAAGTCTCCATCAATATGCAGGTGCTGCCTTCAGGATCGGGACTAAGTTTCTCCCAAAGGGACCAGCCAACAGGTGGTAGCAACTCCTAGAAAAAGAAGGACGGCTAGGGGTTGAGGTCAAGTTGGATGACTCCAGTCTGGGATTCTCTTTGGCTCTTGAGCGCCACATATCAAGTCTAAGGGCTTGCCATGGAAGTGAGGGATATCCTTTTGTTTCAGCACCAAATCAACATGGCTTGTGTGACTTCCTACAAAACAACGGCCAGAGAAATCACAGCAACTGGTAATGAACATCAGTGGTGTGGTTAGAAAGTCCAATTTCCAGAAAGAGCGGCCTGAACATTCATCCATTACAAACTAACGGATCTCGGGCCTCTGATTAGGCAACTTGGGTGGAGTCTAGTTCTCTTGGGAGGTAATTAGGTTTTCACCTTTTTTCTTGTAAGGGCCGGGGAACCTTGTGAGAATATTGTGGAAGCTGGAGACCTGCGCTGTCCGATCGGTAGCTCATCCAAATTGAGATGCGCCATGAGTGTAAACTATGCAATGGCTTTAGAGGACTAAATATGGAAAAGAAGGTATTTCATGAATTCTTTTTACAGGAATTGCATGTTGAAACAATAATGTTGGATTCAAAAAATATATTAAATTATTATTACATGTTTGCTTCTTTTAATGTGGCTAGTAGAAAACTTAAAATCACATTACATTTCTATTGGATGGTGCTGGTCTAGAGACAACAGAAAAATGCAAATCAGTAAATACGCAGAAAGTTTGCATATACTTCTAGAGGGTTCTCCAACCTTTTGACACCCTCCATGAGACACGGGATCCCCAGATCTTTGGTGGGAGGTAGTGAGGAACACTGTGGGGGAAGGGCTGTTTCCATTTCTTCTGCATCCTTCTATGCTGGTTAAAAAAGTTGTTTTTTAGCTACCTAAGCTACAGGAGGCATCTCTAGAGACAGACCTTTGGTAACACAAGAACCTCGCAGATTCAGGGGGTTTGCAACAGAGTCTTTGTGGGGTCAGGCCCACAGGCCTCCGGTGAGCCTCCTGGCCCCCAGCATCCACACAGCGCCCTCTAGAGGTTGCTGCAGCCACATGAAACTGATTCCTCTGCACCTAGTCATGGCAGAAAGAGAGAACCGTGGTCAGAGGACCATGCACTCCACAGGCATTTTCTCTCTGGGTAAGCAATACGATGCATCTTTCTTCTGCTGTTCAATTATCCGTCTAAGTCCACTTGACTAAAGTTATCACTGAAATTTGTTTGGGGCCACATTGACAGAAGGAGGTGTAGGTACTGCAGGCCCATTCTGACTGAGAAAGGAAACTCCAGGAGAGGAAGAATTGCACACTGAGGACCAGGATTTGAGGGGGTCCAGAGAAGGCAAACTCTGTAACTAACGGCAGTTTGAGAACAAGGTGAAACCAAACAACTCCTCCTTTTGGCTGAAAACTTCAGTCACTGAGATGTTCCTTCTTAGCAACCCAGGAGCACCCCCAAAGCTGTTCCTCTATGTTACACGCCCAGCACCTCTGCCTCTCCAAGGTGAAAAGCTGGCTACCTGCCATCGCCACCTGCAACAAATGGATCCTCTGGCCGACTGCTCACCTGTGGTCCAAAGGCCACCGGAGTCTTGGGCACCACCTTGTTAAATTCCTCCACGTTACAGAGAAAGAAGGTAAAGGCCCAGCAAGCACGTGGCTCACCTGGGCTTCCTGCCTCCTGCCTCAGCACCCTCTTCATTCCTCCCTGGATTTCAGCACAGGAGAGGCTGGACTCGCAGACAGATGAGTTATTTCTGAAGGTGGCAATCAGGTCCCTTTAGCCTTACTACCTGAGCAGAAGGCATCAAGTAGGAAAGATCAAAGGTGGTGACAAAGAGCACCCAGCAGTGTCCCTTGACCTACACTCTCTGCTTCAGCAGGCAGCAAGGTCTCATGGCAGAGCCAAACTCTGTTTTGGGATGAGTGTTAATGTGAGGAGAGGGAAAAGCCTCATCAATGCACAGAGAACTCAGGGAAGGCAGCTTCCTGTCCCTGTCAGCCTCCTACAGAGGTCAAGGTGACCATGGCTCACCACTTCAGTCATATGCGTGGGGAGAGTCTAAATGGATTACAAAATTGCCCACAGGAAAAAATAGCATATTTCTGTCACAGTTATTAAAAAAGATACAAACATAACAGTTTCAAAATGCAGATACCTCTTTTTCTTTCTCTGTCTCTCTCCGTCAGGAGAAACTTGACTTAGCCAACTCCCATGCTGAACTTTTTAGACCAGATGGTTCATTGACTTTTACCTTCCTCCTCGCTTGATGTCTGGACTGGGAAGCAACCTGTAAAGGATTCACTGACATCCCTCGAGGTCTGGGGAGGTGTAGCAGATGTGTTGGAATGAAGGTGAGACCCCCATGGTGGTGGACACCAGGCTCAAAGTGGACGCTCCTAAAGCCTTGTCTCCTGCAGAAGTCAGTGAGGTAACAAAGCCTGGCCTAGCCTAGAGGGCGGGGGGGGGGGGGGGGGGGGGGGGGGGAAGGGGGGAAGAGCCAGCACAACAGGCATTTCGCTTTCAGGAAGAATGGGCAGTACCTGGTTTTAAAACCAGGCCTGCAGTCCCAGCTATGAGTCCTACAGCCAATGAGAGGGACCTTAATGCCTGGAGGGGTCTTCTGAGCTCAGAGTTTCAGCCACGCACTGCACTGTAAGTAAGATCCAGACAAATTAAACTGCCTCCCTACAGCTTCCTTCTCATGTCCCACGGCCCTGCACAGAGCCTGGCAGTTGGGAGCCAGTGTGATGTCATTGAGAAGGATGAGCAGCAGCCTCAGCACACTCAGAGTTCAGTGTTGAGGTCTCTGGCAGCTGGGAGTATTAAGATCCATTGAAAAGAATTTAGATTCCTAACGAAAGCTGGCCTTCTTCTGTTTCAGGGTGCTGAGGCCCTTCCCAAAGCCATGCACACTCATGCTGAGAGGTCAAGGTCCTCCTGTCTCAGGTCTCAGAGACTGACAGGGACTGATCACAGCAGGGATGGGTGCTTCGAAACACAGCTCCATGTAAAAGCTGGAGTGGATCGAAGGAAAAACAAAGGAGTGGACCTACAGGAAACTATACACAGTCTTTAAAAAGAATCTGCCAAGGAAATCAAACAACAATTCCAAAACAAGAAAACAACACTGAGGAAAAACTGAAATGAACACTCAGAAGCTCCAAAATTATCCTTTCAGTCTGTGTTGGGGGCCTCTGTGTCTGCAAGGGCTTTGTACTTCCAAGCTGTCGAGGCTGTGGGCTGTTGTAGAGACGGAGAAACTGCATTTCGATCAACTGGACTTTGGATATTGCTTTTCATGACCATTCTTGAGCAGAGCGCCCTGCTGATGCTGAGGTGTTCTGGAGGTGTGTGTGCCTGGTCCAAGTCTCAGGCACACCTCCTCTCCCTTCCCCATGGGTCCTACCATCCCTTTCTTCTGTGTTCACCATCTCACGATTTCACCTCTTCGCAGTCCTGGTCAGTGGAAAGTTCTACATCAGATAGTCCAACCTCCATTGCCATAATCAGCGAGATATCAGAGTCACTGCTGACAGCTGGCTCCTGCTCACCTGGGAGGAGAGAGGAAAGTGCATGGTGAACGCTGAGTTATGGCTTCAAATGATGTCGGTTATTTAGTACAGTTGTCTTTAATAGCATTTCTTTGAAGGTCAAAAGAAGATATTAGAAAAGTTGACTATTTTGTGAAAAACATTAGAGTCACTTACACTATCACCCAAAATAAATTCTAAATGGGACAAAAAGTTAAATGTAACAAAAAAAACTAATAAAGCTAGAAAAAATATATCAAAGTAGGAAAATATCTATCTAAGAAGGGCAAGAAATTCTGTAAGAAAAAAACAACTGAGCAATTCACAGGAGAAAAGATTTATAAGTGCGCATAAAAATAAAAACACAAACACAAATCAAAAGGCCCATATTACACTGGAAAATTTGTAAAAATTTTATAAATGACTGTATTTTAAACATATGGAGAGCTTTTAAACCAATAAGAAAACTAACAGAATAATAGGAAAATGGACAGATTACTATGGTACAATTCACAGAGGAGTATAATAAAAATGACCAATAAATATAAGGTAAAAATGAGCTATTCTTTTTGTTTCCGAAATCTTTACTTTTTAATTTTTTTTTTTTGCACTGAATTTTCTTTTTTTTCTTTTTTCTTTTTTTAATATATTTTATTGATTTTGTACAGAGAGGAAGGGAGAGAGAGAGAGTTAGAAACATCGATGAGAGAGAGTCATCGATCAGCTGCCTCTTGCACACCCCCTGCTGGGGATGTGCCCGCAACCAAGGTACATGCCCTTGACCGGAATCGAACCCGGGACCTTTCAATCCCCAAGCCGACGCTCTATCCATTGAGCCAAACCGGTTTCGGCCGAAATCTTTACTTTTTAAAAAAGATAGCCTATAGTTAAGGGTACATGGAGGTAGGCACTGTGAAATATTCACCTAGTAACTTCATTTTCAGAATGTATTATAGAGAAAAAATCAGATGCAAAAACACTCATTTAATCATTATTTATAGCAGCAAAACATTCCATGTAACCAAGCCCAACAACAGGGAATATCTGAATGAACTATGTTACTTCTAAAGGGCATCTGGTTACAACCATTTAAGCGACATTTCCAGAGAAGTTATAGTTACATTAGAATATGCTCACAGTATACTGAGAAGTGAAGACAACGTATTCAAAGCTTTTTGTGCAGTGAGCTTGACATAAAAAGTTAATTAGAAGCAAGAAAAAAAAATGCTAATAAGTATTGTCTCAGGTTTTAAGACATAGTCATTGTCGTTCAATTTGTTTTTCCATTTTGCTCCCAAACATTCTGCAATTCACAAATCTCATTCACACACCCGAGGCATAATGAGTCCCCACTCTTAAGAATTGTGCTAGGTGCTAAGGACTGTAGGGGAGAGACAGTGAGATGATTCCTGTCCAGTAGGCAGGCCGACCAGTAGCTGCTAGTCAATTACAAGACAATGGGACAAGCACTGGGCTGGTGTGATAGCAGCAGGAAAGAGGGCTACATATCATTTGCTGAATCAAAGCAGGCTTCTGAGAGGGTGCAATGACTAAACTGAACTCTACAGGGTAAATCGTATTCTAGCCAGAAGCGTGAGAAGGAAGCATCGTTTAAGCACAGCAATAGCACATGAAGATGTCTGGAGGTGATAGGGAGCCCTCGGCTGGACATCAGATCGTATTTAAGTATGACTGGAATGCGGAGTCAAGCTAGGGAGTATGAGCAGGGGAATCAGGGGAGCTCAGCTGCAGAAAAGCCAGCTTTACAACTAAAGTCTTGTATGCTCAATTATCCTGCAAGATAAACATGCAATGAAAAGACCAAGCAAAATGTCTAAGTACTGAAGATGGCTGATGGTTATAAAACTTTTGCTCTGATAATCACGGATATAATTTATTTAATGTTGAAATACAGGTAAGAACTCATCACAGTGGTACTGTGACTTTCATATAAATCTAGGGGGGAAAGGCAGCACAGATAAAGCGCCCATTTAGAGTTCCATAGGGATAGCTCAATGCGCCTGCTCAGATAGCTTCTCACCTTCACTCCCAGCTCCTCAGCCACCAGCCTCAGCAGGTTTCTCGGATTCGTCCTCACCGAAGTGTTTTCTAAATTGGAATGTGTGAATTAAAAGCAAAAAGGGCCATGGGGACTGCAAAAACTATGGGCCATGGGACGCTGAAGTCATGATGCTATTTTGGAAAGGGACTCTCCTGCACAGCTCAAAGCAAAGGCGAATTCAAATCAATAAAAATAGAGATTTGCAAAGAAAGGGTTTGCTTTTCATGATGTGACATTGCATCAACCACATTATCTAATCATTTTTTATTTCAAAACATTAAATATTATCTGAAGACATTTGAAATTATTCTTTACTGTGCCCTATGCTTTCAACTGAATTTGGTCTGCTCCATCCTTTTTAAAAGCAGGTTTTTATCCTTTAATCAAGGCAGATGTTTTACTTTGAGACCATGATCATATAAAGGAAAATGCTGTCACTAAGACATTTAGAAGGTTCTCTCAGGTGAGTGTGAAGTAGCTGTGTTTACCTTCTTTCCTGCAAAGGCCAATGCAAAACTAATGTGGCAATAACAGTGGCCTTTACTGAATTCTCACAACAACCTTCTGATATAGGTATTATTAGTACTGCTTTACAGGTTAAAAAAAATCCTCTCAGTCTATTTTATACAATAGTACATTATCTTCTTGACACACTTCCTTCTCTTGGGTTTCATGCATTGTAGACTGTAGAGACACAGAGAGCATTTAAACAGGGAGTGATGTGATCCACCTCGTATTTTGAAAGATCTCTCTGGCAGTTAAGTGAAGAATAGACCGGTAGGACAAAGGACAGAGATAACCCAGGGGAAACTATTGTGGAAAACAGATGGAATGTAATGGCAGTTTGCTGTGGCAATAGGACTGGAGATAAGGGGACAAATTAAAAAAGGATTTGAGAAGAAGAATATACAGCAAAGTGGTGGACTGAACAAGGGCAGCAAAAGAGGAGAAATAATGACTCCCACATTTCCTAAGCAACATGGGTACTTTTTACTGAACTGGAGAAACTGGGAGCCAAACAGGTAGAGATAGAACAAGAGTTGAATATTGCACGTGCGATGCTTCAGGTGCCCATAAAAACAGCATTATTGTGGAGTTAATTGGCAGCTAGATGTAGAGTCTGGAGTGTAGAGGAGAGGCTGTGACTATCAGGAAATTTGGGAGGCTTCAGTGTAGAGAAGATATTGTAAACCATGGGAGCAGATGAGGTTTTCTAGGAAAAGACTGTAGAACGAAAAGACAACTCAGGGCTAGAGTTCCCAGGATCATCAAAACCTATGAGCAAAAACTCAAACTGGTGCCCCCAAGATAATCTGTTTGGCCCATACAGTACTTCTTTGAAAGTGTGAATTAGTTACCGGTATTTAAGTCAGGTTATTTCACATGCAAATTTATATTTGAATTTTATCTTCAAAAATAAATAAATAAATAAATAAAGTGCTAACAGGTGCTCAGTTCCCAGATGGAAATCACCGGGGTGAACTGGGTAAGGCTGTCCCCCTTAGCTCAAGGCAAAGAGGCACCAGGGCACCATGGTTGGCCAACAGTTTGCACACTGGGTCATGTTACTTGCTTGGCCTGTGTAGACATTTGAGTCTCAAATATCAGGGAGAAGGCAGAGCACAGCAGAGAAAAGTAAGTCAGCAAAGAGCCTGAAAATAGAGAACATTGTTTCACTGATTTCTTTTTTTATTTTAATATATATATATATATATATATATATATATATATATATATATATATATTGATTTTAGAGAGGAAGGAAGAGGGAGAAAGAGAAAGAAACATCAATGATGAGAGAGAATCATTGATTGGCTGCCTCATACATGCCCCACACTGGGGATTGAGCCCACAAGCTGGGCATTTGCCCTGACTAGGAATTGAATGGTGACATCCTGGTTCATAGGTCAATGCTCAACCACTGAGCATGCTGGTTGGGCCTTTCAAATATATTTTTGCTTCTTTATCTTCTATAGGTACCCACTCACCATTAACAGTCCATACCCAAGGAAATGAGATATCTCATTGGTTAGGGTGGATTTAAAGACTGATCCCAAGTCATCTAATTCTCAGCTTTAAACCTCTTTGTCACAGCATTAAAGAGAATCTGATTAGCTGGTAAGCAGAAAATACTGCTCTCAATGCTGCCTTGTAACCTACTTTGTTGACCCATAACTACTGTATACTTCATGTATTTCTACATTTAATTCTAAGTAAAAAATTTTTTAAAAAAAATATTTTATTGATTTTGTACAGAGAGGAAGGGAGAGAGATAGAGAGTTAGAAACATCAATGAGAGAGAGTCATCAATCAGTTGCCTCTTGCACACCCCCTACTGGGGATATGCCCGCAACCAAGGTACATGCCCTTGACTGGAATCGAACCCGGGTCCCTTCAGTCCCCAAGCCGACGCTCTATCCACTGAGCCAAACCAGTTTCGGCTAACTTCATAAATTATTATTATTTAATTTGTATTAGACTCACTGGGGTGACATTGGTTATAAAGTGATATTGGCTTCAGGTGTACAGTTCTAGCATACATCATCTGTATATTGTATTGTGTTCACCACCCCAAGACAAGTCTCCTTCCATCACCACTCATCCCCCCACATCCTCTTTATCTCTCTCATCCCCACTTAATTTCACAAATTATTAATACATTTGGTTTATCACTTTCCTCTTTAATAGAAAGAATGTTACCGAAGGAGTCAGAGGTCTCCCTTTGTGAAACAGGCACTGCAATCATAGTTCTGCTGTGGGTTGGATGTCACTGTCTGTAGCAGAGGGTCTGGTTGAAGTTTCTTCCAACCTGAGACGGTAGGACCCTGAGGTCTGTCCTGTCTAGGCTGGGGCACACCTGATCTGTCTTTATCACGTCTCTGGCTCAGGCCCATGCTAGGGTCCACATTCTCATTTTGGAATCCTGCCGCTGGTAAATGTTTGTAGCAGTGAAAATGAA